TTGAGAAACCGGCTCGAGATACACTTTTTGTTATATTCCATGGAATGCTCTTAACATCCCGATCGCCGGCCCGGCTAAAGTAACTGGATGTCCTACCTGCCTGTCAGCCTCCCATCGGGGCACAAACGTATCTCGTGCCCTCATTGGTCATGTGCGCGTTCGTGTGTGTTGGAGGAGGGGCTCTGTGAGGAAGTGGCAGATTTTCTCCGGTTGTGTATTTTCAAATTCTAGCGATCTCGAGCCGGTTTCTCAAACTTACCTACCCCACCTATAATACGCCAAAAATAGAAAACACAATGATTGTTCACGAGTCCCAAAACACGAGTCCAAGTCGAGTCCGAAGTCTTTTGAGCAGGAGTCCAAGTCAAGTCTGAAGTCTCTGTGTGTGCGACTTAAGTGCGACTCGAGTCCGAGTCACAGACTCGAGTCCCCATCTCTGCCAGGACCCCTTGGCTAACTAACAGGGAGTCCCCATTGACTTGCATAGAGCTCCCTGGTAATAGACGAGTTGGGATGGTGGAGAAATGCTCTCCGCAGACCCATTCTCACAGCGTTATAAACCTTTTTCTTACTCAATATCAAGCCACACTTATTGTTTTTACTTCGGCTGTGAGTGTTTGTGTGCTCAGGATGAGATTCGCGCTGTATCGCCGACAAGCCGTTTAGGACAGAGAGTGAATACACATACTATACAGAGATGCTGTATGAGAAACCAATGTGAGTTTGAAACATTGAACAATATAAATCTATTTTAGTAGACCTCAACAATGGAATTATGATCAGTAGAAATGGCCATGACATGGGACCTTTAATCATTTGCACCAGAATGTACCTAAAGTACAACAAATAAAGTACTTTATTGCACAATAATCAATGAATAAACCCCTGACTGAGGTCTTTTTTGGGATATTTTGATATTATATTTAATGCATAACAAACAAATGCATAACAAAAAAAGTGTGCAAATAACCCAAATGATAATTAAGGATTTAAACAGAAGAAAAGCTACAAATCTTCACTTGAGCATTTTGGTCAAGTACTTAAAGGTCATGGCCATTTCTACTGATCATACTTCCATTGTTGAGGTCTACTAAAATAGATGTATACTGTGCAATTTTCCAAACTCACATTGATTTCTCATACAGCATCTCTGTATAGTATGTGTATTCACTCTCTGTCCTAAACGGCTTGTTGGAGCTCCTGCCCCCCCCTCCCCTCCCTGTGAGCCCAGTGGCCGTCGCACAGCGAAACACAGCCCGAACACACACACACACCTGCAGCCTGGCTGGGAGTTTGTGTTTGTGCCCAGGCTGAGTTCCGCTGTGTCTCGCTGTCTCGCAGACCCCACACCAGTGAGCCAGCTCACAGTGTCCCGCTCCTCGCAGCAGCGAGCCTCGCAACGTCCCGCCGAGTGTGTGTGTGTGAGGAAGTCCGCGGATTGGTCCAAACGTAACGGCTCCGCGGATTGGTCCAAATGTACCAATCTGCGGAGCCGTTACGTTACGTCACTATACCTGAAATACGTCACTATACTCAGGAAGAAAACAATGGAAAACGAGAAATCTCCAACGAGGCGTTCTGGGGCAGCACAGACAGGTCTTCTCTGTGTTAGAGTTTTACTCGCTACAGGGTGTACTTTGAGGGTTTGTGACTCTGCAGACCGTTTACATGCAGAACAACCTTCATAACACAAGGGGACGGGTGATAACCAGAAAAGCATGACATGGGACCTTTAAAGTGAAAGTACTCCTTCAGCACAACAGCCCGTTTCAGAATAATACTATTGGATCATACGACCCCGGACTGAGGTCGAGTGACACAGTTTATGGATATTCCATATTATATTCAATGCAAAACAACAACAGTGAGGAATAACTGATACATTGTACAATTAACTGAAGTATTGATCGCAATAAACTTTTTTTTGCACAAAAGTTTGTGTAAAATGAGAGATTTTGGTAAATTTCGAGCTTTTGCTGTTATTTTCTAGGAACTTTTTATACAATTATGTGTAGATATTATGTTTTAAGATGACTAATGTAATGGTTTGGTCTTTATAATGCCAGAAAATAAGGGAAAATGTTTATCACAGTTTCTTAAAGTCTTTAAATGTCTTGTTCTGTCAGTCCAAAACCCAAGATATTCCCTTTAATTTGATAGCAGGGTATATGCAGGAATCCTGAAGTCAAAAGTAAGACCTTTGAAGACCTTTTTTAAGACCCTTTCCATACATTTTAAGACCTCATCGCCACTTCGAGTTCTAACCGGTTACCTTGGCGACACACTTTACCTCACACTGACTATATACAGTACTGATTGTCCTTCCTCCTTATCTTCCAACCATTTGGACGCAGACTTGCATTTCCCCATAACGATGTTGTTTAACAACCGGCGTAAACGGAGCTTCGCGCTATCAAGCAGTGAGCGTGCGATGTCCTGTTCAGATGACGTCAAATCCAACGGGATGCCATCAATAAACTACACAGAATCACACTACACACCTACGCCATGATTACATTCAGGCAGACTGTAGAATACAACCTCTTTGGACACTTTATATACTTATTGAAAACAAGCTACAAAATGTAATACCTTGGGAAATGCCGTTTAATACTTTTTAATAGCCTTCATTTCCGCTAAATTGATTTATCAACTTTTAATACTTTTTAAGACCCCGAGGACCCCCTGAATAGAGAACAGAGAAAAGCAGGCTAACATGAAGCTTGTCTTTTCACTATAGCTTGTGAATTTCATGTGGGATCAAACAATAATGAAATACAACACAGGGAATGATTTGTTGATTATATTTTGTATGATGAATCTGAATCTTCAAAGTCTACTTAAAAGATTAAATAAATGGAGTAACAAGCACGTAAGATACTCCATTAAAGTACATGTAACTAGTATACTTAAGTACAGGCACGTGCACACATAGACATCAAAGTGGGCTTGAGGCCCTGCCCTTTTTCTTCCTCCAGAGAAAGTGCCCTTTTTTTATTTTTTAAATAAATGAATATATATCTGCAGCTGTTTGTGCACAGTTTCCCTTTCCAAAAATATATTGATTGAATACAAAATAAAAATATCAGGTCAGGAGATTAGACTGTGAAGTTCCTATGCTCCCCCTCTCTCTCTCCCCCCTCTCTCTCTCCCCCCTCTCCCCCTCTCTCTCCCTCTCCCCTTCTCTCTCTCCCTCTCTCTCTCCCTCCCTCCCTCCACGTCTCGCGCACAGCGGTGCGGACAGTCCCTTCAGACAGACAGGTAGCAGCACCTCCCACTTTACTGTTCCATGTTATGCCGGCTTTTCTTAGCTTGTCTGAAGGTGAGTGGTGATGAACAAATGACTAAACTGCCAGTGCCTCGAGTTTACAGCTAATTAGCCAAAAGACAAAAACAAATAGAGTTAACTAAGGTAGGCTACTAGCTAATGGATAAGTTAGCTCAAGGTTTAGCTAAGGCAATTTATCATGGGCATACAGGCTAATGTAGCCTACTGTAGGCTACTTAAAGGGAGACACTAAAGGTGAATACAGTAAAATGTTTATCTAATAACTTCATCACAATCGCCACATTGATATGCAAATTAGGCGTTAACTAGTACACTAGTAATAAAGTACTATTTTATCTCTTATCTTGATTAAAATGTGCTAATTTGCATGCAGTTACCAAGGCATTGCAGGTGAAAACAAACAAAAAAACATATCACCTCACAACTTCCCCAGATAGTTACTTACGTCAAGTCAGTATTTTCCCCTGAAAGGTTGTGTTTAAATGCAGATTATCTTTAAATCTATAGATAACTTCATAATTTTGATTGTTGGCTGCTCATTTAATAACTATTAATGTTATTAGTTTGTTGTCTGCTCTTGTGCTTAGTGAATATAGAAGACTATTGTCTCTGTGTTAGCTGATTATTAGAACTCTGTTGAGTATTAAACAATTGCGTGAGTGTGAGGCGATTAAAATAAATTGGTCAGTAAGTCAGAGATGTGCAACTATATTTAACTTTTTGTTTTACATTTTTTTTATAAATCATTATGGGAAGTGCCCTTTTTCTCACTTGAGCCCCCGCCCCCCAAAATGTCTGTGCACGTCCCTGCTTAAGTACAATCGTTGAGTAAGTGCACTTGATGTGCACCACTGCATTTAACAAGCTAGCCTGTAACCACACAATAAACTCTAATTTATGCTAGATCAATGAATGAAATCCCTCTCTATGGGCAAACTGATTACCCTGCAGCACCAGGGTCCCTTCACCCTATCGCTGATTTCAGAACAGAAGAGAAAAAGCTACAGGTTTTATATCTCTTCCACTTTATGCATCACAAAACCCTGCAGCCAAGGAGCCATCTCCTAATGTGAGCTGGCGTGCACCCAGCGGCAGGCAGTACACACACACACACACACGCACGCACGCGCGCACGCACACACACACGCACACACTGTGTCTATACTGTATACTGCTGTGATGCAACCACCACCACACCTACAGCTTCTACCAGAGGTTGTTCCTCTCCGCCCTGTGCATGCAGCAGCAGGCGGATACAGACCTGGGCTGACAGAAGCAGGCATTTAATGACAGTGTGAGTGTGTATCCGTGCGTGTGTGTGTGATGCCTCGTTTCTCCCGCATGTTTCCCACCTCGCATCTACGGAAAGGTTGTCAACGCATAATGTGCTGTGTGGGCTGTGAGGTGTTTGCACACAGGACTTATGGAAAGCCTCTTACGTGTGCTTGAAGCTGCGAGAAGGAAAACGAAAACACGCACGCACGCACACACACACACGCACACACACACACACACACACACACACACACACACACACACACACACACACACACGATAAAGCAGTGGAATAATACACGTCTACCCGGGATTGAATAGCAACATATTCCCGCTGTGACACCCAGCTGTGCGCCACCACCACCATCACCCCACACACACACACATCAACATGCAGCACACAGTCTCCCGCAGTCTCCTCCTCACACACACTCACTATGAGCGGGATGGTCCTGTCGTCCCGGTGCATCTCCAGCCGGCCGGGGACCCCCCCCCTTCGGCCCCCCATGGCCCCTGCCGCGCGTCACGGACGACGGCGACGACTGCGGCTTGTTGTCCTGCCACAGGTAATAGAACGTGCCCAGGATCCACGCGACGGTGAGAATGGCGATGGCGTTGGCCCGTATCCTGCGCATGGTGAGTCCATATGGAAGCGCTCCGGACTGGAGGCTCGGGTTCACGGAGGACCTTCCGCCGCCGAGATGCGCTGATTGTCGGACAGACTGCCTGCTCTCCTCCGTCTCTCTCTGACTCTCCTCCTCTCACTGAGTCAAGGTCCTAGCGCCGAGGCATATCATCCCTCTGCACACACACACACACACACACACACACACACACACACACACACACACACACACACACACACACACACACACACACACACACACACACACACACACACACACACACACACACACACACACACACACACACACACACACACACACACACACACACACACACACACACACACACACCACGCATATGCACACGCACTATAAACACGCACACACACGCGCACCATGGGCGGTTCTATAGGGAGGAAACAGGGGTCCTGTATCACTGAGCTTGGACACAGGTATTATCAGGTAAACGTACTGTGCAGAAAAATTACTCCTTCCACAGTGTCTATATATATTTTTAGAAACAGACATACGTAATGTATCTCTAGCATGAAATTGGAATGTGCAACAATACAATTAAAATAATATTAAAATAAAATAAGAGAATTATTTTATCCAGGGAGACAATTTAAGATACTTTGCTATCTATAAATTAACAATAAAATTAAAATAATGTATACATATATGTGCACATTGTGTATAATACAATATAAAACAGTAATAATAAAAAAGGGGACTATTTAGTCTGTAAAATTATAAAACATATTAAACTAAAACAACCTGTATGGCTTAAACCCACCAACATGTTCATTTCAGTGAAGTGACCCTTTCTCTCTCGTGCTGCTACCCCCGTCTGGTAGCCAGAACCACATCTGCAGCTTATTTATTATCCCGGCTATAAGAAGACTTATTATTCAGCCTATGCATTTTAATTATACATTTAACCGAGCCGCCTGCAGCTCACAGAGAATAAGAAGCAGCTGAACTGATCATGAAGAACAAGGAAGAAAAAACAGTCTTTGAACAGCAGCGGCATGAATATTCGAAGGAGATAATCCTGGATTTAAACAGGTGACCTGCTGCTTTGACTTATGCAGTGCAGGAATAATTCAGAGGCATTACACGGAAAGTTAGAATATATTAGACTGAGAGGAAACTTCTCTAAAAATCAGCTTTGAAAAGTCTGCAAAGAAATCAGACTGGAGCAAAAACACCCCCAGAGAGTATAGAGGGAAGGAGGCTGACATATTTTCATTTGATTGTGAAAAAATAATAAAAACGCCCCTCAGTATGAGCTCATGCAACCCCACCTACAGTATACTGAGTGTGTGTGTGTGTGTGTGTGTGTGTGTGTGTGTGTGTGTGTGTGTGTGTGTGTGTGTGTGTGTGTGTGTGTGTGTGTGTGTGTGTGTGTGTGTGTGTGTGTGTGTGTGTGTGTGTGTGTGTGTATGTGTGGTGATACAAGTTTTCTTTACTTGGTCACACATTCAGAATATCCCTTGAGTGAAAGTACAGAAAGTAGAAGTAGTTGTTCTGCCTATCACGTACAATGTGCTGGAGCGCCAGCCAATAAGAGCGTGAGTGTTACATAGTGATGTCACTATGTTCCTAAAGTAAACAAAGGGGTTCATTTGAGGCGTTTCTGACGGGGGGGGGGGGGTGCATGTACATTTGCCTTTGCAGACCATTTACATGCACTAAAACCTATAGAACACATGAAGTGAGCACCGCAGGGCCTATAAGGTTTTGGATCACTGTCAAATCTTTTTCTTTTTAATAAACTCCTTAGCTGCCTATATTTCACCTTCAAAATGAGATGAACGCAACTTCAGAGCAACAACAAATGCCCAGAGATGAAAACGATAAATGCATTTAAAGGTTTCTGGTTTTACATCATCAAACACATCTGTTGAAAATAACACAGGAGACACAGAACTTGGTGTTCACGTATAATTCTGGCTATCTTCAAGTGCTGGTCCAAACCTCCTAATGTAATTATAAATGCATGCGCTGTAGAAATTAGTGCTTCACAAATCAAATCTCAAAATGCTGCTGGTTTGAGATTAAATAAATCATTTTTTCTAATCTCATCCACACGGTCAGATGCATGCAACTGAAAGAGTGAAACACATCTCTCCTCTGTCCTCTCTCTCTGCAGCTCTTGGAGGTTAATCTCATTATGCATGTACTGTAGCCCCCCCCCCCATGTTTATAGAGAGGGAGGTCACAGGGTCACAGCCACATCTGGCTCAGGGCTGCAGATGTTCGTCTTCATCAGGTCGGACAGAGCTGCTCCTCTCGAGGCGCCGCTGTCAACATTATCTGTGGGAATACAAACGGAAACAGGAAATAATGCATTATGGCACATTTCCCCCTGAGAATATGAACCAAAACATTACAAAAAACACTCTATTGTGACTGTTATCTGTTATAATATGGACCACAAACAAAAAATAAAGCATTATGTCACTGTTTTCTGTTGGAATATGCTCCAAAACATAGTAAAATAACACATAAAATGGCACTGTGTCACTGTTATCTCTGGGATTATAACCCAAAACATTAAATAATGCACATGTGGTCACTTTTTTCTGTTAGAATATGAATCAAAACATCATGTAATGCACATTTTTAACATAAGCTATAGGAATATAAACCAAATCAATAAATAAAAACATGAAATAATATACATGTGGTCGTTGTTATATCTGGAAATCTGATTATAAACACAAAACAATACCCTTTGTAACAGTTTTCTCTGGACATGTGATCCAAAACATACAAAAAAGTGCACTGTCAATTTGATCACTGGGATTAAAACCCAAAACCTAAAATAGTTCACATGTTTTCACTGTTATCTCATTACGTCACGGATTTCTGTGAACATGTGATCCAAAACACGACAGCACTACCGCATATAACTGTTATCTCTGAGAATACAAACCAAATCATAAATTAGTAGAATCCGCATCTAAAGATAGCCTACGTTATTTCCCCCTGTGCAATTCCAGTCTCACATCTCAGAGCGCATCGTCATTAACAAATACCGGAAACAGACCGAAAACATTTTTAAGAAATAAAATAATACTTTATTCCGAGTGTGCTTGCTTTTCTCTTTGGAAGTCATCACATAACGGCATTGTAATACACGGTTCGGCTGCATTAAATATTACATATCTGCCGTAGTTCTGTATTTATAGAGCCCTGATGAGAAGACTTCTAGACAAACATGAGGAACTGAAAACGTGACGTGGATCATAAATATATCGGCCATTAAACAACATCTTACATTTATTTTCACACAATACGTCTCCTTGCAGTATCAACACTAATTCGGCTGACTTTTATATTTGATCCAATTGGTAGATAGGCTGTATTTACACCATAAAGGTGCACAGCTGATATAAAGGGACACCTAGTGGTTAAAGCATGTTATTAAATTTCATTATTTTTATTATTAGATATTAATAGGATCCCTATAAAGTATATTCATTACTCGTTATTCTCTACTAATAGTTAATTAAAGACTGTATATAATGACTATTTTGCACATCCCTTTCAAGATTTCAAGATGTTCTAAGGTTTATTGACATATCATATAGGCCTACACAACTATGGTGTAGTTATGCATTGAATGAAAAACTTGGGTCGCAGGTTCCTCAATAGTGCATTACAAGACATCTATCAATATCTGTGCATACCTCCAGCAATGTTAACTATGTTGAAGCACTTATTTTAACTGATATTATACATAATGTATTATACTCTTATAAGATGTATGTAGATATTTCATCTCCGGCCTTGTCAGGTATTGAACAATCAATAAATAAAGAACACAGAATTGTTGAATATAAAACACAGAATTTGTGTGATTATACTAAATGATTTACAAATAAACACCACTGCATATTTAACTGTTACACATGCTGATGTAATGCAAATGTTCCAACTTGGGATCAATAAAGTATATCTTATCTTAAGCTGATCGATGGCTACTGCCATATTTGCAAAATGTGCCTCTGAACCTTAACAAGTGCATGTTTCAGGCTTATCAATTCATGTAATGTAATGTAATGTTATCAATTAACAACAGGGGTCACAAACATAAGACCAGCTGTTAAATAAAGCTCTTCTGACCTTAGCTGGCATGTGTGTATATATATATTAATGCTACCCATTATGGGCACAAGCAATTTTCACCCATTTATTAATTATATGTTTTAAATGTGAGTATTTCCTATCCCCTAAACCTCCAGGGATGTACACAGTTTAATACTGGCAACTTCTTATTATGGGAAATACGAAAACGTCTTTTAAAACTACAACTCCCAGTAGAGACGTGCCATAGATAGAGAACATGTTGCGAAACAGAATAGCCGGCATGTGTAGTTCTGGGGACGGGGTGGGGGAGGGGGGGACGCGGTGGACCCGTTCAAATCCAGTTTTGGACAGTCTGCCGTGGTTCCATCCCATTTCAAGTGCTGTTCGAGGCTCGGGGTAACCCTAGGAGCACACTCTCCAATCACAGAGCTTGAGGACTATCACGGGGTTTGTCAAACAGAGCACATGGTGTAGTCCAAACGATAGCTGGGGATTCTGGGTAGTGTAGTGTCTTCTGCCATCCTTTACTCCGAAAAAACATTTGTTTCTCCGAATCGAAGGGGAAAAATACAAAAGCATTGCACACAATTTAAACCAATCAATGTTGTGTAATTAACAAGGATAATCTGGTGTTTTTTAGTCGATGAGTAGTGCAGATATCACTGTAAAATCAATCGACAGTAAGGGGAATACTTACTTCCGGGTGTACAATTCTCCGTTATCCAATGAGAATGGACGCTCACATTGCCTTTAAGGGCAGTCAACACAAACGAATGCCGTGCTTCCATGAGCGTCCATAGAAGCATATGGACATCCCGGAAAGCTGAAAATGGACGCTAAGGCCCCCCCCCCCCCCCTTGCGTTGAAAATGGACGCTAAGCCCCCCCCTCCTTGCGTTGGAAAAAGCCGACACAGGGGACTTGACATAACGTCAATATAGGCCGACCTGGGAGTGAGGATGTGTTGTCCAAACAAAGAATTTCACTTGTAAATATTTGGTGTGTGCGTGTTAGGGTCAGGTGAGTTACAGTATGTGTGTGTGTGTGTGTG